ACTTGATTGTTAGAATTTCAGTGTCTGTTGGTCAAAGTGATGGTCTCAGTTTTGATCTGACAGGGAAGGGGGAACGCTTATGAAACTCAGCATTCAGTGGGTTCATATACTTTCAGATTCACATGAGAATGCCMAGACACCTCTCCTGGGGAGGGGAATTTTACACTGTCTTTTGCAGCACCATGAATGTGTTGCAACTGTGGATCATGTGTAGAAGACCCCAGAAATTGGTCTGGGGACTATGGTCTTCCTCTGCCATACTCAGCCAGAACTTACTTTCAGCACATCTGCTGAAATGGCCTTTTTTGTGGATGCATTCTTCTCAGCCTTGTTTCCTTCTCCTTAGATCTGAGATAACTGGACAACAGTAGTGCCTTTATCTTAAGTTTCCATCAGGAGGCTTAATTTACTGTCCACATTTCCAGGAATTCATACTGGGGAGAGGGAAACAGGGGAGTTTGGTGTTTGCAGGTGAGCAGTTGCTTCTTTATACAGATTGCCACAGTCCTTTGGTGATTGCCTCAGCACTGCTTGAGCCATCAACCATTACCTGTGGATCAGTCTGAGATCAGTAAGATCTTTCAAGGCTGCAGCTCAGAATCTTTCCTGCTCATTCTACTTCCTTAGCTGTTGCCATACAGCAGATGTGACTTTTTGTGAAATGTTGCCATTTTGGTTTAGTGGCATTTCATGTCTGCTTTTTCTTTCTGTTTTATTTGTCTTGTAATTCTTTTTATGTATGTTGGAAGACAGAAAAGAARCAGGGTCTTTGAAGTTCTTTATTGATGGAAACATTGCAAAAAAGTTCAGATTTATATTCTAATCATTCATATGCACAAATATTTGTCAAAAGAACCTGTAGGACATACCACCCACTCCTGTTGAATTTCAGTGAAATTTCAAAGTCTTACACCCTCAGGCTCTTCTTCCCACTTCTTTGTACCTCAAACATCAATCTTACCTTAAAAATGATTGATTGGTAATGCCCCTCAGACAGAAACCATGAGGAACCTTTTAGGCCAATTGTTTTCCTTTAATTGCCTGGTATTTCTATCCAGATTTCATATACTCCCCTGCTGCTCCGTGATATGCATTTTGTCACTTTCCCTGGTCTGCAACTGAACTGATAGGTAATTTGTTATTTGTAAATGGAATTTTAAGTCACATGATATTTAACAAGTAAAGCAACATATAAATCAGCAAATAAAAGAGGACAATTGAATGTGATCTATCATAGACAAATGAGCATTAGCAAACCACTTTTTATGAGGCAGTGTCTCTGGCAGTGATGAGAGACTTACCAAATCAAGTAAATATGAACAAAATACATTCTTAGAGGTTCATATATTTACTAAAATATTACTAGAGATAATAGGAAATGGCATAAAAAAAGAACAAAGCAAATTAATATTCAGTATACTGTTATGTTAGTTTTATTTAATATTATTTTAAATATTTAAAATTTTAATTAGAAAAATGAAAAAAAAAATTATTGTGTTAATGCAAGACCTTATGGTATAGCTAAAAATTGAGCTTCTGGTTTTTGTCAGATTATTTTATAAGTATCCATAATTTCTAAAACTCACTGCATTTGTCACAGTTCCTAAGGAGAACTGCTTTCTCTCCTGCCCCTGTCATGCTGCTTCACATTACAGAATTCTCTCCCCTTTGTTCCACATGCTCTCCTTAGCCTCTGGCCCTGACCTGGAAAAGATCCTCACAGCTCTTTGGCTTCCAGACCGAAGGAAGGAGCTGAAGAGAGCTGTCACTTGTCTCTGCCTAGTCAGCACTCCTTTTGTATTGCTGTGTGATTGATGGAGAAGAACCTTAAGCCTTGTTAATGGCACGCAAGGGAGCCAGCAGAAAATGATAGAGGCTGATAAGTTCCTTGAAGTCACTTCTATATTGAAATCCCTTGAAAATTTTTAATGGTTAAATTTTAGCAGGCCTTGTTCATTCTAAATAGTTTATTTGAAAATGGTTTATGCAGAGCAATTGCAGTGGTATAGACTGTTGCAGCATACTAATATTTTGAAATCGTGAGACCGTTTTGTACCTGTCCAACAAAACAAAATTGCAMCAAGGTAGCATTTGCCAATATGCTGAATACAGTTTGCTTCCAACATAGTTTTTAGGCTCTTCCATATCCAGTTTATATGCTGTGCTGACAATAGCATAACCATAAATCCATTTTCAAGATAGTTGATGAATTTACATTATCAAGATTTGATCAGCTTTTTGTTTGTTTGTGTCATGGTTTAACCCCAGTCAGGAGCCAACTAAACAGCAGCAAAACTCAGCAGATGGGATATACCCAACACYGGTTGACATAGGGTCTAGATCATCAGTCTATTTTTGTTCACATTGTTTCTTTTCAGACTGTACTGACTTCCCAAGATTAGGCATCAGAGTGAAGCCTACCACATAGTGTGTGTCATCTCTTAATCATCACCTATTGTTTCCTACCTGTGTTCTTTTATTCATAAAATCCACATCACTACAGAGCCTTACATTSCTCTTTGGAAAAATCTTCCTTATATCATTCTCCTTGTACATATTGTACCCCTTAGGGGTTGCCTTGTTTCCTTACTTCCAGTCTCAGCCATTCTCCATGCTCTTGAAATGCTGGGTTACTCTACATGAGAAGATGCTGAAAGAACTGTGTATTTTTTCCTTACTTTCCTTCCATACTGTGTTTACTGAAATTACCTATGTCACAGATATTTTGTAAATCAGGTACAAAAATCTAAATGTTAGAAGAGTTCAGTATAAGAACAACAGCTGACAATCATGAAGAAGAATGTCATACCCTTAATATATTGACTTTCTATTTATTATTCTCAGTATTATACAATTTTTTGTGATGATTGTTCCCCCTTACGATTTTACCATGGGAATTTTGCAAGCATGGCTTTTTTATATTTGTTCTCAGAATGCAGATTATTGTTAATTTGTGAAAACCCCCATATATTTATTCCATTACAGGAGTACACAATAGATGTTTTCTTCCGTCAGAGGTGGAAGGATGAGAGATTAAAGTTTAAGGGCCCAATGAACATACTTCGATTGAACAACCTGATGGCCAGCAAAATCTGGACCCCAGATACATTTTTTCACAATGGGAAGAAGTCAGTGGCTCATAACATGACGATGCCAAACAAGCTTCTACGAATCCAGGATGATGGGACTCTCTTGTACACCATGAGGTAGGTCTCTTCCCCTGTTCTCTGCTCAAGTCATTTCTCGATGTGACTTTTCCATCTAACAAAATTARGTCAGGTTTAAGGAGAATTGTTCTTTGTTTTATTTCTCTCTTAGCAGAAAGAGAGATAGGAAAATGTATGTTTTGTTTCCAGTTCTGTTTGAAGTCTCTTGGCTGATAATGAGTTAGATTAATTTTCCTACATGTGCCTCAGTTTTTGTATTTTTGTAATGTATTAAAGATATTGAACACCTGAATAAAAGTGCTTTGAGACCTTCAGATAGACTTTACCAACTCTGTCTTGAAATAATTGAAACAGTTTCGGARTTTTTCCTAACAGTGCAGCTGTTGTACTATGTGTGCCCTTAAGTAAATTTATTATTAAGATCAGGGGCAATTAAAAACTAGACAAAGAAAAAAAGAGATCTCAAATTTTTTTTCTGGCAAGACCTACAGGTAAAATATGTCTTACTTTGTAATTACTGTTTCTTCATATCTAATYACAGTGTTTTACTCAGTTTTAATCTTTTCATCCTGTGCATTGTTAGCAGCTAAGTTAAATATTTAGCTGGTAAAATGTATTAAATTTGCTTAGAAAATAGAATATGAAAAATTATTAAAAAATCATGTATTCATAGATGTAAGCAGCATTTTTATAAGACTGATTTATTCTTTGATTACTCTTTTTGCAATAACGTTACCTATGTGAATGTCTTCGAAATTTTTTTATCTAAATTTCCAGAAGCCCCTGACTTAGTTTCTTTCTTTTTCTTGGAGAATACTTAATAAATTGAAGTTGGTGGSAATGTAGACTTAAAATCCCCAGCCTAAGGAAGATAGAAAATGTGAGCTCTAAAGTGAACACGTACTATAGTACTTTTTCCGTGCAGTTAGGCCAGCATCCCCAAAGCCCAATTTTACCACACAACTCTGGAACCCTCAAAATATTGATTGTTGATGGGTAGACTGCTAATAATGTTGGATGATGTAGTCGTTGGAGAGATTACAAAAGAAAATTTTGCTTGGAGTAAATTAAGACCCCATTTGTTGTATTTTTGCTTGGGCTCAAATCAATATTTGAACTATTATCTGTATAAGCTGACTGAAATACTCTTCCTCCAGAAGTTATAAAAATAATGTACTATAAATAATAGAAAATACTGTTTGAAGCCATTATGAAGTATAAGCTAGGTCAGGTTAATTATAATTAGCTAAGTATTGTCATCACTTGTAAGAATGTTGGTTCTCAGGATATGAGATTAATGTGTACACCGTTTTAACTGTTTTGCCTAATTTTAAACAGCTACTTTTATCATGTCTACATAAAATAATTGTGTGATTTATATCAGGGGCTCATGCAGTTCTTTTCTTTGCTTTCAGCTGTTTGCTGATTCTTATCCCTCTGTGCCTCTTGAATTCAGAAAAACATTGCTGGGGAATGGAGAAATAGAAATATGAAACATTTTTGGGTGGAAGGGTGGGAGAAGACAGCAGAGAATACAGTGACTAGAAACCAGTGGGACTACAGAAGGATGTAACTGATGTTTGAGGCTGGATGGAGAGAAAGATAGGCATACAAAAAAAATCTCTACCCAGAGGAGACTTACAGGATAGGAAGGAAAAACATAAGAGTTTTTTCTTGGCTTTTAAAAAAAAAGTAAAAATAAATAGKGAAGTCCATTAAAAGCTTTCTTCAAGTTGTTTTAAATTATTTTTTACTGTACTAATCCCCATATATGATATTGGGATATTTTTGGTGGTTTTTCACAAAATGAACAAAAGTGGATGCTTTGATAACATAGCATCACACTTTGCATAAATATAAAGAATAATCACAAGTAACATGGAGAATGAGTAGCAGCAGTCTTTTGAAAGAACGCAAGTATTTTTTTCTCCATATCTTCCATTCAAACTGTGAAAAAATTAAATTCAGAAGACAGAAGTACATTCCTTTGGCAAGTTAACTGTATTTTAGATGCTTTTATAATGAGCCTATAAGAGCCATATTAGCATAAATTTACCTCAGAATATGAGAAGAAAATTATTGTTCTTAAAACCTGACATTATTTATTTTGTATTTTTCATTAAATGGCCTTTGCTCATAATTTTGAGGTCAGCTTTTACAGGTTCTTGATGTGACAAATAAATGCCTTTCAAAGGAACACATAAAATGGAAGAAAAGCAAAAGCTGATTTATTTTCTTGTTAGTTTAATACAAGATTTCAATTGAATCTACTAAATTGGTCTGAACTCTGTTCATTTCTGTGGAACAGATTTTCTTGTCCTGTTAAATGACTAAAATGCATAGCAATCTATTTCTTTTTAGGCTTACAGTCCAAGCTGAATGTCCAATGCACTTGGAGGATTTCCCCATGGATGCTCACTCATGCCCACTGAAATTTGGCAGCTGTAAGTATAGAATGTGAAGTACAGCCTTTGTTTAGTGAATATCTAACATTTCTCAGTATAATTTTGTTTCAGTACATTGTTACATGAGAAATGTAAACCACAGGATGGAAATTCCAAAAAAATTTGTAACCTGACTCATCAAAATCTCTTTTCTCTATTCAGTATTGTCTTCTGGTATTTTAAAGATTTCATGATTGCAGTTAACAGTAAAGACTTTGCACCTGATCATCACTGCAGTGGTCTGCTTTCATTACGGTGTGCAAACCATACCGATGACCACAGAAATGGATGCACGTAGCCTGAGTAGTGTTAACAAGTGCAGATCAAAGACTTCAATGAGTGGTTTTTTTTCATTTGTCACAACACTTTAGTTTCTCTCTATTTTTAATAATATTTTGTATGTTCTTAGTCAATAAAGGCAATAACAAAAGGCTTTATATGATCAGAAATTTAATTCCTTAGTGCATCTGCATGTGGATTGAATTTAGTGAATTTCCTTAGTGAATCTGCATGAGGTGAAACTTGACCTCACTGGTATTATTTTAACAGCAGCATTATTTCACTTTCTTAGATTAAAGCCATTCTTCTTCTTCAGATTTCCTGAATTTTGTACACTGAAAGGTTTCTTTTGTTTTTCTTTGGCCGCAACCTGCATTCTCTGCTGCACCCAGGAAAGGAAATGTTGGGGTTTTTTTTAAGAAACAGGTTAAAGCCTATAAATTCTGGCTGATTTTACAATAATTGTAGCAACTACAGAATAAAAAACCAGGATATGCTGCTACTAAGGACATTATTAACCATATGATGCTTGTCATAGCACTCTGCACACTCTCTCCATTGTGCTCCAATATCCCTTTGCCTTGGAGTTTGSAGCAAATTAAACCAAGCCTGTGCTTTTGGTAATGTTTCCACACTTGAGGGAAATCTTAGCCATGGAGATAAAGATCATTAGAATGAATACTATTTGCATCATGGAGCCTATTATTGCTAAATATTGTATTTGTAATACATAATGCATCCTAAGTAACTAACGCCAGAGATCTTAGCCAAATTCAACCACTGAYTAATAATATTTACATATATGTGCACGAAAGGTATGTTTGATTTATAAGGTGTTGCAGGAAAATGAGCCTCATATATAGCCCCAAAACAACTTGAAAACACCTGTAAAAATGAAACTCATACTCAGACCAAAAGTCTACTTTCTTCATGTGTATTTTTAGGTTGGAAATCCTTATGACTAGGTATATTAGGTTTCTGTGAACCACTTCTTTTTTGTCTTTTTTTTTTTTTTTTTTTTTTTTTTTTTTTTTTTTTATCTTACCAGCTTGTTATTTATTCTCTGACTNTTTTTTTTTTTTTTTTTTTTTGGTCTTGATTGTTTGTTTATCTTACCAGCTTGTTATTTATTCTCTGACTATGGTTTTCCAGTAATCAGGGGAATTCCCAGAGTGAGCAATATGATTTTACAAAAACTGTTTTTCATTTCCCTCAAATTCACCTGTGCTCCAGTCTGTTGGCACATCCACGGGACTCTTAGTTCTGTTCATTTTGAATGGTTTCACACACATTTTATTTCTTTACCTCGGACTCTTTTCTGGGCAACTGTGCATTTTTTAGCTTTTATTCTGGGGTAGAATCTTGCTGATGAATAGTGGTTGAAATMAGCAGGAATCCTGAGGATTTTGGTTTAACTAAGGCAAATTTGCCAGTGGTATATATTTGTCACAGCTCTTCATATGCTGATAATCTTACATTGCTGGGAGGATCACCAGCATGTATGAATATCTCTTTTTATATGTAAGAGAAAAGCCAAACTGAATGTATGGGAGAAGCTGTAGCTTAATAGATTGCTTTTCTTTATTCTTTTCAAAAAGTCTAGCTGACAGTGACGAGAATGGGGACTAATCAACAATTTTCTGTACTGCTGGTTTGCATTAAAGCAGAGATATTCTTGTGGAAAACTGGAAGGATAGATGGGAAGTGTTAAAAAATCTCTGCTTGCTACCCACCTGCTAGATTTTGTTAGTCATGCAATTTATGGCTAGATGCATGAAGAAGCTGCTTTTTGAGCCTCTATAGGTTTCTCAAGTGAAAATGTTTGCAGACCAACAGTAATGATGCTTTACTTTTTAATTGCACTGCAATTATGGTGTAAGGTTTAAAATGTACTTGTCTCAGTCAATCATAATGAACACACAAATTCTTACATCAGTGGTTTACCCTTTTTCTTTCATACTCCATTTGTTAATAGGATATTAGACTGGAAAAAGCTTTCAGTACATTCTAATTTTTTTTCTTTCTTACTGGGGTGGCATTATTGCTGTTTAAAATACTGCATTAATTTGCTTTCATACTAGTTWATCTTGACAGATCCCAGGCTAAATGTATGTTTGATCATATATGTATTGAGAGAGCAGCCTRTTTAATGTCAATGTGTCCCCCAGAATGGTGGCAACTGGTGAGATTTAAGAGGGTAGGCAGGGCAAGGTACCAGGGCARAGRTATTTTTTACCATATAATTTTAAAYTCTTTTGGGTRWGTTTTTATTTGAAAAATATGTAGCTCTTGTAATTCTGTGAGGTCTTTTTGGAATCTGTTTAATTTAAATTGCTGACAAAATATTTTACCTTGTTTCTCACAGATGCATACACAACTTCAGAAGTGACATACATTTGGACTTACAACGCTTCAGATTCAGTGCAGGTGGCACCAGATGGCTCAAGACTGAATCAGTATGATCTTTTAGGCCAAACAATTGGGAAAGAGACAGTTAAATCAAGTACAGGTTAGTAAAAGATATTTTGGAGAAAAAGGCAGTTACTGGCTGTGAAGACTAAATTTCAGGTGATGTTAAAGGCTACTTGAAGTGATGTATTACGCATAGTCAATGTACTCTGCAGGTAGCACAACTCAGTGCTTTACTGATTCTTTCAAATTACAATTAACTGGTGATAGCAGAGGTGATCTTGTCCTCTGTGTTGAATCTTAATATGTATAAGATAATAGCTGTACTCMATATCTTTCTAATATTCTGTAGGATGCTATCTATTACAAAATACATTCGGTACAATATAACCCTAGAACATTTGTTTGATATAAATGTAGCCAACTTTTTCTTATCAAAGATATGGACTTYCTGAAGATGATAACCTTTTGTTTCATTGTGTTTTGTTTGGTTTTGGCACCTAGGTGAATACACAGTAATGACGGCTCATTTTCACTTGAAGAGAAAAATTGGTTATTTTGTCATCCAGACTTACCTCCCCTGCATCATGACTGTCATTCTCTCTCAAGTGTCATTCTGGCTGAACAGAGAATCTGTACCTGCCAGGACAGTCTTTGGTGAGTACACTGGGTAGCATTGGCTCTGTTTGCAGCAGCTTAAGATGCTAGGAAGCAGTTCTGAAGTAAAGGGCTTTTTCATTCAAGTTAAAGTGTTTATAAAATGTGATATGATTTCTAATCCAAACAGCTTCCAACTGCAGCTTACACATCTCCTGAGTATCCCAAAGATTTTGGAAATCAGTACTTACAAGAAAACTGTCCTCTTATATCCTTGACTCTTTTAAGAGGAAATAAAAAAATCACATATTAGGAAAAGATGATAATGTTTCTATTTAAAAAGTAAATTTAGATGATTCTCTRAAATATCTTACCTTGATATTATCCAAATATTCTGGTACTTGGTAGATAAGAAAATTTCTAAATTTAATTGTAAATTAAAAAAAATTAAATTTGATTTTGTTGAATTATTTGTATTAAATTTTTCAAGCTGCAGTTCTTYTAAAGAAACCATATTTTAGGGTTTTGGGCAACATTTTTTCATTAATTCAGATTGGAGAGTACTATGTGGCAGCAAACAGCTTTAGCAGAGCAATATAATGGTGTTTCTCTTACAATAAGGTTTTGCTCTCTATTTAATCCAAGTAACAAATGCCTTTCTTATTTGCAAAACAGAGTTTATTTAGTTTGTTTGCTTTTAAAGAAAAATAGATTAGAGCAATAAAATTAATATCTGTGTGGAATCATCCATCTGAAATGCTGYATAAAATTGTATGATTAGTCATCAGTAAACACCATGCACTCATCAAAAAATAGGCCAAACTCAAATGMATATTAAGTATGATGCACAACAAAGCATTTACTGTCGCTCCCGGTAGAGAAAATGCCACACAGTGTTGTGAAAATTGCAGGTTTGAGTATGAGCCTTATTGAAGTCAGATGAAATAGGTCAGTGGTTTCAGTGGGACCAGAATTCTACCATGGTTTTCCAGACAGCTATCAGTCCAGTTTGTTTTTTGTCTTTCTTCAAAACCTTCTRTGAATTTAACCATTTTTGCTTATGAAAATGCAGATTCCTGTTTTCTAGCCTTGCAAGTACTTGCTGTATACTTCGATCCTTCTATATATCTGTCTTTGCCCTTTTCTCCTTTTCTGTACCAACTCCCATACATTTAGGACAGTGTGACTGGTTTCTCCAAAAAAAGTCTCACATCTGCTCTTCCTGAAATGCACTTTCTGGTACTGTGTCACTGTTAACAAGACACATCCATAACAAGGCCCTGGGATAATTTTCCTGAGATATATCTCTTCCTGCCCACCTCTTTCTTGTTCTTGATTTATTTTTTGTTTAATTTATATATTTTCTTAGAAATAAGTAGTGTATGCATGGCAGCCTGCTGCTTTGCTCTCCTGCGGTTTAGTGTAATGTGGATAATGAAGTGTCCTGCTTCAGGATGTCTTGAGGGAAGTGCGTAGGAGGGCCACAAGAACAAAGCCACACCACTCAGTGACACAAAACCCAAAATCTGTTTACTAAGAACGATGAGTTTGTTGCAGACATAGCAGTTTGGTGCTAGAATTTTATTCTTGTCACACAGGCGTGCACCCTATGTGGCACTCAGGGCTGTGTCCCCTCAAGGTGAGCTTAGACTGAACCCAGGGAAACAAGACTCATCCAGGCTCTGCCTGATGGAGAAGCCTTACCCTAGCMCGCAGTATTTGCTCCTCAGGCTTAGCTTTTTTCATCGGGTTAGGATGGATTTTCCCTGAGGAGCTATTTTTTAACATTCTTTTACATTCTAGATGAGACTGTCAGCATAAGCTGCCAATGGGCTCTCCAAATACACAGCCTCAGGTGGATCTGCAGTCTCTCTCCATAATTACTGACAGCAGTTGTCACTGGGATTTCTGATACCCTCTGGTGTCGTGCTTGAATGTGTTGCAAAAATGTGCAGTTAGCCAGTTTCATAACAAGGTTCATCTATTGCTCTTTGCTGGTTTTTGTACTGAATGATTCTTGTCAGTCAAAGCTGGACAGGTGCAGTCAAGGTTTCATCTGGGTGATGCTTTCAGGTAGACTCCATGCAGTGACACAAGAAGCACATATTTCAGTTATGCTAYGTCCAGAGGGAATATAAAAATATGCTATGTCCAGAAGGGAATATAAAAATTGTAGGGGGTGTTGCTTTACACTTTTATTGATCAYACTTAATTTTTAGTTTTTATATGGAGTAGTCACTTGCTAGATATCCATTGTTGCATATGGGTATGCATAAATAATATGAATGTATAAAATTAAAATATAAATATATAATTAATATAATTAAAAGGGAATTACTGGTTTTCACAAAGTGCTTTTGAAAATCAATGAGAAATTTATTTCAATGACCTTCTTGACAGCTAATGACTAACTACTGGGCATCAGTTCCTTTCCGAGAAATGTAACTTCAGTTCAAAGCACAACTTAGCATATATTATTTCATGTGTGAAGGAAATTACTTTTACCTTTCTATTCTCTTGCAATATAGTTTCAAATTCTATGTTAACATTAAGGGAATAATGAGTATAATGAGGCTTATTTGATAGCTGAGCTCTTTAATCCCATTTCTTTATGGCATYTGTTTAATATTGTTGACCTACCATCTCTCAAATGAATTATGGCCTAATGCTATATTGCTTCAACTTTGCTTTAAATTGTTGAAAGGAGAAAGTTTTGTCATCGTTGATTAAATAAGTCTTGAATGTGTTTTCTCTAGCAAATAAATCTGAAAAGCATTTGATTGCATTCTTAATGAAAGAGAATAAGCCTGGTTCATAATGCCTTCATTTAGTGCAAGATTACAATCTGTTTCATTCAGTAATGTGTTTATTGTTATGCATTTAGTGTCAACAATATTAGCAAAACYAATCTTGTGCAGCTTATTGGATTCTTGTTCCATTTTTAATGGGTCATAGCATTTAGAAGCATCACATGTATTTRAAGAGCAGCATTAGATGCAGGTGACAGAAAATCAGAAATTAGTTTTCTCAGTGCTACAGTTATCCATGTTTTAACTCACATGGAGTATCAATGAGAATGATAAAATTATTGTAGTTAGGTATATATTCTTTGTTAACTGAAGCAGGCAAGAGCAAAACTTAATCTTGTTATTTAATATATTGCCCAAGATGCAGAATTTTAAATTCACATAGCTCTGTTCTTTTGTCCATTCACTGTGATAATTTTATTGTTACTCTGARTTTTATGTCTGTTTTTACTTATTCTTGATATGAGTCCTTTCCATGAGGTGCAGTCCTCCAGGAACAGACCCAGCACGGGTCCCCCGTGGAGCCACAGGTTCTGCTGGGAGCCTGCTCCAGCACAGGTTTTCCACAGTGTCACAGCCTCCTCCAGGCATTCACCTGCTCTGTCATGGGCTCCTCCATGGGCTACAGGTTCATCTCTGCTCCACCATGGACCTCTCTGTGGGCTGCAGGGGCACAGCTGCCTCTCCATGATTTATACCACAGTGTGTAACTCTTCCCTGGTGCCTGGAGAACTTCTTCCTGTTCCTTCTGCACCGATCGGCCGTCTGCAGAGTTGTTTCTGTCACATATTCTCACTTGCCTTCACTGGCAGCAATTGCTTCTGCTCAATATCATTTTTTCTCTATGTTAAATAAGTCATGTCAGAGGCACTGCCAGTGTCAGCGTTGGGTTTGGCTTTGGCTCCCTCTTGGAGCTGGCTGGCTTTAGATGTCTCAGAATTGCAGGATGTTCCTGGCAGCTTCTCACAGACACCACTCTTTTATCCCCCCACTACCAAAACATTGCCACACAAACCCAAAKAAAGTTTTTAATTGCTAAAAGAGAAACCCAGGAAATTCAAGTTTGTTCTCTGGTTGTTTTTACATGGGAATTGAATAATAGGGACCCATCCTTTTGAACAATCCTATATATACAACRCACCTTTTGTCATTTCACTGAAAAAAATCTCAACTGTCTATTTTTCTCTCCTTTTACATGCTGCAGATTATCTTYTGTGCCTTTAGAGATATCCCACACTCATATTCTTCAGTTTATAATTCCTTGGGAATTTCTGCTAAATGTAGATATAATAATATAGTGGTAGGCAGTGGGCATTGGAAACCTAGCCCTGAGTAAGAGACTCATCTGCCTGCAAACAAGCTAATATGTCTCCTCAGCTCAGCGATGTGTGAAAACACTAGCTCRTGTTCCAGTGCTGGCATAATTGCATGCAACTTTTATTGGAGTTGGGTTAAATGGCACTTGCCATCCAGCTTTGGGAATAAGCTTGTCCGTTGCTCATCAGGGAATTTTGTTCCATTGCTCAATATTGATGCAGTGAAGCAGCATGGCTTCAACTGTACCACATGTATATGCAGCTCACCTGACTGACTGAATTCAGCTTTTCTGGAAATAGATTATGTTATGGTTCTTGCCTCCCATGCTATTTTAAAAAAGCTCTTTTGTGCTGTTGTTTTACTAAGAAGGGCAGACAGAGCACTTGAGCTATTTTCTCTCAATGGTTGTTCAGAGTTACYTCCTGGTGTTCGAGCAAAATCACGGTACACGCCTTTTATATTGCATTCTCTCATAACACAGTGCCACTGCGTAAATAAAAGCAAACAATATAGTGTGTAGCTAAATGTTGTGGTGCAATATTTAAAATCATGCTACATCGAGGATTTTTAACCTTTTGTTTGTACCTCTAACCATTTGGTCCTGGAGTGATAAAATGAAGTAGTAATCTGTATCTTGGAAATGGTCAACAATCTTTTCTTTCTGCTGTTATTTGCATTTATGAATCTGTTTGGGCTTTGGRCTATCTAATTACCAAAACACACTTGCAATTGCTGCTAAAAAAATAGAAAAATAAAATTAACTTACCAAATTAAAAAAAAAAAAAAAGGTAATTTATCAATCCTTTTGTGATATGTTCTTCAACCATTATTTGAACTTTGCAAACTTCAGTGATTAAAGGATAAAATAGTGGGAGGAGTACTCTGAAATGATAAGAAATAGAGCACATTTTAAACATTTTGTACAAATTACTTGCAAAGCTGCAGTACCTCTTTTGTTACTAAAATGTGCTTTGATAACTCATTAATTAACTTTCAGTTTCAAAGGAGGTGTCCACATTCTAGCACAGGAAGGCTGGGATATGATTACTTGACTAAAGTCTCTTCAAATTAGGAAAACCTGCTAATATACAAGAGGTGAAATTAGGGTCCAAAAATTTGTCCCTGTCAAGGAGTAGCCTGACTTTTGCATACAAATGTGGGTATAAACAAGTCATCATGACAGATTTTGACTTTAATATGTATGTGCTAGCTCCTCCAATTCCCACTCTGTGTTTTCAGTTAGATATTTCTAGTTTTTCAAGTTACCTCTTCTGCTGTTACAAGCATAACAGAGCTGGTATTTTCCACCGATATAAGTTTAGTGCCAGTGAAAAGTGTTGAATTTACAGCTCTGCAGATGGATTTTCTCTCTCCAGTAAGCAAAAGCCGTTTCAAAAACAATACCATAAAAAAAATTCTCAGGCAATCAAATAGCTCCAGTCTTGGCTTGAATGGATAAACCTGTAGTGATAGAAGATATTTAGCTTTATAGGCATGCACTGCTGAGAGCAAACCTTGTAAGGATGCTTTCTGTCAAGTTAAAAATGCTTGGTCTTCTTTGGAAAAAGGAAATGTTAATGGTTTATTTTCTGTATCTTTTTCAAAGACAAACTGATGACTGCTCATGGTCCCTTACAAAATAATASCTGACCATTCCTTTCTGGCATCAGTTCAGTTTCCACATTTTCTGGGCGCTGGGCTATAGAAGACAATTCTTGTCCTATATGTAAACTGTGGTTTTTCTATGTCATCGTGAGATATTGTGCAGTCTTTACATAGCCTTCAAAATATTTTTTGACTGCTTCATTTTAGGGGTATCATCTACTTGCTGTGCTTTATACCAATTTTAGTCAGTAGTGTTATGTATTAGATAAGCAATGAGGAATGGTTTTGATCTAGTAAGTGTATGGGTTTTGTGGSGTTTTAAGTGAAATCTTTGTGAAATAAATGAGTTTTATTTTACAGGTTGACCATGTTCTTACACATTAATAACTTTTCAGTCTTAGATTTAGCAGAGGCAAGGAGGCAGGTTATTTCTATTCAGTCCTTTTTCATAAAGAMGACTTGATAATACTGATTTTTCAAAATAACTATAATGTGCAAAGTCGTATTTCTTTTCTCTGAATAATAACAGCAATATAAAAGGACRAAAGAATCCTAAACTGACAGGTATTGCAGATTAAATTTTCTGTCCATTTTTTCCCACTCACTTCAGGTTAAATGACTGTGGTAGCTTGAATTTATAGAGTGAARGAATAAATGAAAGTGTGTTGGCAATGGTCTGACAGCGTGCTGCTTCATTAGCATTTGGGTCACAAATGGGTGTAACTTGCTGAACTTTTTAGAGAAATTGTCAAGTGGTAGCAAGATRCAAGATATAAATTCACAGTGTTTTAACCTAGACTAGGAAAGGTCAGCAGTAAATCCTAAATCAGATTTCTGAAGAATTCAATGGGGTTTCCATAAGATTAATTTATTCTCTAAAGTGGGACATAAAGAGAGCAGTACCTTAGCRACTGTATATATTTACATGTGGATAAGGTCACTTTATATCTGAGAAACATTCACTTTACTGATACTTCTGTATAATTATAATGATTTATCTGCAGCTCAGGACCAGAGTTAAAATTTACATGTGATAATTTTAAATGTAAGATAAGCTGTCTTTTCCCTGAGGTGCTGAAAATAATTAAGCCATATGTTGCGTGTTAGGAAAGACTAAGCTCTTTATAAAGTATATTTTGTCTACACATTTTCATACTGTGCAGTATGATCGCTGCTTCCTTTTCGTTGTATAGACCAGGAGATCCCAAACGTGTCATGGCTGATTCCAGGCCTAATCCACTTGTTTAATTTATGGGGGCTGAAAACCAGCAATTAGAGATTTATGTTTGCTGAGGTCTCTGGGTACTGTGTGACTCAGCAGGATGCTTTTGTGCCTTGTTTTCTCTGCTGCAAAGACCTTTGAAAGAGCTGAGGCTGAGTCCACTCAGCCTTGCTTTGTCACCCTTTGTAGCACCTTCAGAGATGGAGATTCCTTACTGCAGGGATGAAAATTGTGAAGCCTGAGGAGGTCTCAGTAGTTGTAATTCTGCCTCTCTTCCCTTTCCTACAGTGGTTAAAATTGCTTCTTCTCTTGTAGCAAAAGGAGAATCAGAGCTGTGTCGGTGCTGCAGAACCCAGGTGACAGATTGCTGACAGCAGATCTGGTTTAGGGAAAGTGACTTTACTTTCTCTTGGGAAGCCTCCTACAACAGTTTTATGAGTGTGTATTTGTTAAAGCTGTGATGTGCTGTTACTAATATTTCTGCCATGGCATCTCCTTTGCCTGTCATAATGAAGTGTAGGTTTGCTGATCTGTGCTAAGTATATCACTTTGTGTTGCTTTTAATTCTGGAGAGGTACTTAATGGTGTGCCACAAAGGGAATAGTTTAGTTTGTCTTGGTATGATTCAGCCTGAGGTGAGAGAACTGATTTACTTCAGGAAAGGAGACTGTGTTTATGGCTGTGGGTTTCTGCTTGCTAAATCTGATTCAGAAAAATGTTCTTCTCTTCCTTTCCTCCCATGTACCTTTCTCTCTGATTTTTTAGGAGGTTTTTAATTTTTTTTAATGGTTCCTCTTTATGTAAAAAGTACTGCAGAGTTCTGTTAGTAACTGCCACAGTGAATCAACAGTTTTCCTGGATCACCGACTCTTGTTTTCTGGCACATAATACAGTTATAATAACCTGTCATTTCAAATCAATGCTGTTCTGGAACACAATTCATGTCACCTGAATGAAAACTTACCCTGTTTATATCTTCAACTATATCACTGAATGGTTAGCAAGACAGCTACTGGCCAAAAAAAAACCAAAAAAACTCATAACAAAGATATATTTGTGTGGTAATTTCAGTAAATATGGGTCATAAAAATGACCTGCAGCCACTGCAGTGAAGCCAGCTAGCAAACATTACCATATTAATCATTATTACTTTAATGTAAATTGGATGGATCCATTAAGAAATTTAATTTTGTTCCTACCTGCCCTAATAGTTTAAAAAAAGAGCTAATTTCTGTAAGCAAAATCATGAGCTTATTARAAAAGAAAAGTTTAGACAAGAAATGGAACTGAAATTACTCGAAAGGAAAATCCAGATACAACTTTTAATATAATTTAATATAATTCTATCAATGTTTGTCACCATCTTAGATAGAAAAATTTTCCATTGTGTTTCAAAAACGTGCCATAATATTTTTTGGTTTATTTTTGCTAAGGTTCAAAATCCAAGTGAAATTGTTGATGTTTTTGTGTCCCCTTACAGGTGTAACAACTGTCTTGACAATGACAACACTAAGCATCAGTGCTCGAAATTCACTCCCAAAAGTAGCATATGCAACAGCTATGGATTGGTTTATTGCTGTTTGTTATGCATTTGTATTCTCTGCATTAATTGAATTTGCAACTGTAAATTATTTCACAAAACGAGGATGGGCCTGGGATGGAAAAAGTGTAGTGAACGATAAGGTAAGTCCTAAGGAAATAGTACTATTTCCAGTTAATTACCTAAATAAGCTGTAATGTATTGTTTTGATATTTTGCTATATAAAAAAAGAATGATGCTTTAAATCAAAAGAACGTAGATGTATTTTCTGTTCTGAACAGAAATATATTTGTTCTTATGTAGCTAATCTCATTTGATCTCATTAATCCAGATTTAGTTAACAAGAATATTTTTTTGGGGAACTGTCTGTTTTTGACTCCTCAGATACAACTGTTTACCTGGTTATTCATAAAATTTAATCCATATTAAATCACTTGATCACTTTTTAAACTTTTTAATTCAATTGAGTTGGAAATAAGAAAAAAAGAATATTAAGATACATGTATTAATTTTTGTGGTACATAAGGTTTAGAAAAACAAATTAATGTCCATATATGTAAGGACTATAAATAACAAAATATAAAAATTCTGAACATTCCAGTATTCTGAAACTTATCCCTAGTGATAGCTAGACATTTATTTTAAAATTTTTTTAGAGAAAAAATGTACAAAATTCTACACCTATGATGTGTTGATGCTTTGAGTACACAGAAACACAGTCACACCCTAATTTTCTGGTCTTTATAGTGGTGTAGGTGTGAGAGCATGAAGATGTTTTAACCTGATAGAATTTCTCATTTCATGAACAGAATGTGCTGGTGATAGTCCTATATTTGTGTATTTGCAATTTAGCATTGTAATAACACAAAACAAATATTAAAGCTTGCTCATTTTGGCTGACAATGTATTATACCATTTTGTCCTATTCCAGACCTTGATTTCTGTGATTCTTCTTAAAAGAGTCTAGAATTTTATTTTCTTCCTAAATGATTATATAAAATATGAGGCAGGTTTCATTAAGTGATTTCTCAGCATTTTGAATGCATAAAGAAGCAGAATGTTCAGTTAATACTAAAGGAGAATTAGAGAAAATATACATTCTTCTTCATTCCCTATGACTTCTGGAACGGCATGAACTATCCATAACTTCAGGATCTGTTCCCTCCTGCTAGAGGTAGATACCAAATCACTGCAAGTTTATCAGCTTCTCCTGAGCGAATCTTTTCAGAGTGGCACATTGCCCTGGCATTGTAATAATGTGTAATAAACTCTCTGATCATCCGTTGGTTATTCCTTTGAAGTTGTTATCTYGTGATCTTAGGAGTGGAGCTGTTTAAAGGCTAGGCAGTCTTCCTTCCCTAGGAGTGGCAGTATTATCCATTCCATTCTAAGATTTATACACCATTCATGTGTACAGTTCTCTGCGTTCTTCAAACTGAATTCACAAAAAGCTAAGCTTTTAAAATAGTCGTGGTTTCTCATACTAAAATAGGGTTCAGCCTTATTATGCATGTCTCATTAATGGCATTACAGATACCGTTTAAAATACACTAATTGTGACCGAAAGGAAGGAGTTATAGAGGAATTAAAGTACTCCCTTATAATTTGATTTGGTAATTTGCTTTTTGTTGGTGAATGCATCTGTRTACCTAAAGCCAGGCTTCCTCTTCCCCAATTAAAATGAAATATGTTTCGTCAGTGACAGTCATCTGTATTCACATTATATGGAAATTCTTGTCTAAATGCTGCTGACATGGAATTCATCTCACAGGAAAGCAGGTGCAGGAACAAGCTACACATTTGATCAACTATTTTTCACATTCCAGTCAATAAGGAACAATGCTGAATTCCCAAACTATTCCCAGATTCTCTCTTTATATGACACCATCTCTTAAGACAAGGTATTTTGGGAACAACATCTAACCATGATGATCTTAGCAAGATTTTTAGATGGTCCAGATAAATGGCAAATTGGACGTAATTTAAAACCGAAATTGCAAATGGACTAGATGCCTCCCTTGGGAAATAAAAAAATTGAAATGCATCTGTATGAAAAACATCACAGGAATTCCCTTACTTGTGTCACTTCCTTTAGATTAAAAAAATCAAAACAAACCAATACAAAAGCTGATGATTTCTTATATGATCCAGAAGTTAACTATTTCTTCATCTCCTTAATTCCRTATTTTGTGGAAGAGATGGACTAGATCTAATATTTATTTCATTGTCTCTAAACAATACACATACATTTTAAATTATGTTGTATTATGTTTTATATATAAGTAATATATGTTATATTTCTATATATATGTAAATAATATATATTGTTTCCTGAGAAACTTCCTTCCAATTTTTCCTGGAGGATATTAGAAATTCCTTAGTTTGAGATTGCTGCAAAGCACTGGATCAATTTATAGAATTAGAGTCATATTGCAGAACTAGTTTGTGTACCTGTGTATATGTCTAAAACCCCAAGGCCATATTCATTCCTATATATCCCTGTGCCAGTGTGTACACGTGGCCTCTCCATTGAACTGCCTCAGCTGAACTTTAGACCTTTGAAAGCATATGCAAGCCCATAATAACACAGAATTGGTGAAGTTGGAATTGACCTCTAGAGATCATCAAATTTATATCAAGTTTAGTACAAGCAGGGTCATCTAGGGATGATTGCTCAGGCTAATTTTCCAGATTATTTTTAATATCTTCAAGGATGGAGATTCCACAATCTCTCGAGGTAACCTGTGCCAGTGTTAGGTCATGCTCATGGTAAAAGTTGGGGAGTTTTTTATGTTTAAGTGGAATATTCTGTATTTCAATTTGATTTCACTGAGAAAAGTCCAACTTCTTTACTCTCTCCCATCAGATGTTTATATACATTGATAAGATTCCCCCTGAGCCTTCTCTTTTCCAGATTAAACAGCCCCAGATATCTCAGCCTTTGATATTTCAGACACTTCAGCCTTTTAAATCACCTTTGTGGTCCTTTGCCGTACTTTCTTCATTTTGCCCATGTCTCTCTTGAGCTGGGAAGCACAGAACTGGATCCAGCTGTGCAGATGTGCCTCAGCAGAGCTGAGTGGAGGGAATGATCCCTTCCCTTGGTTGGCAGGCAGCGCTCTCTAATGCAGCCCAGGAGGCTGCTGGCCTTTGTGTGAGGGCTCATTGCTGGCTTGTGCTCAACTTGGTGTCCACCCAGACGGACTCCCTGGGCTCTTTCTACAAAGCTGCTTTCCAGCCCATTAGCCCCAGCCTGCACTGGTGCATAGGTTATTCTTCCCCAGATGCAGGACTTAGGTTTCCCTTTTCTGAGTTTCATGAAATTATTTTAATTCCATCCAGCTCTTATCTTCTGCTGGTTTTTAGGTTCTTATTCCTGTTTTCATCATTATTATGCATTTTTTAAACACTAATTTATGAAAACCAGAAATAGTTCTAGGGCTAAATCTCAGCTCAGTTCTAAAACTATCAGTCTAGAGTCCTTCTTTCACTTAATTGCAATCTCGTCCTGCTCTCTCTCTATGTRTGCCTATGTATATATACATATATGTGTGTGTGTGTAAACACACGTTTCTCCACAGTCTCAAAAAAATCTATACCCTTAACTGAAATTCATTTATTTATTAGTGGTTCTGTTAAGACATGTCCAAATAATAGTGATGCTAGTTTTATTAGAGAAAGGTGGCTTAATTTCAATGTTACTACTATGAGGGGTAATTTTCACCGAAAACATTGTAAAGACCTTGCAATTCTGTTGCAAGAAGACAGGCAAAGCCACTAGAGAAAGACCAACTCTTTTCTAGGTATGCTTGCAATCACAGTAACAGACACTTTCTCACAGTACTTCAATAGGGCATTTGACGATGCAAGAGCAATCTTATGTCATTCCTACCTTCTTTTTGGATACACTGGAAATGTCTTTCTTTGTATCTGAATTTATCAGTATGGTATTCCTGGTTTTTTATTTTAATATGCTCATTTGTTTCTTTTACTTTTGAAATGATGTTTTATTAAGTCTATTCTGGCAAATACACATGAAATATTTAACTTCCTGCTGTCTTCCAATAGAAAAAAGAAAAAGCATCTGTCATTAAGAAAAACAATGCCTATGCAGTGGCTGTTGCCAACTATGCTCCAAATATTACCAAGGACTCAGTGCTACCAACCATCTCCAAGAGTGCTACAACTGCAGAACCCAACAAGGCAAAACCAGAAGCGAAGCCACAAGAAGCAAAGAAGACATTCAACAGCGTTAGCAAAATTGACAGAATGTCTAGAATAGTGTTTCCAGTCTTATTTGGTACCTTTAATTTAGTGTATTGGGCTACATATTTAAACAGGGAACCTGTCTTACTTGGCTTTGCGCCATCAACCTAAAGGCTGACTTGCACTGAGGACTTCAAGCATCATTCTAATCCCATAGGTTGTTCACTATGTACAGTCCGACTAATAACTGCTAATCTGTGAACCATTATGTACAGCATGTATATAAATGTCTGCTCTGTGTGTCTCCAAAGGAGGGACACAGTGTTAATTCATGGGTCTGTAAACAGATAGCACCCATGGCAAATACAGCCAGCTCTTTAAAAGTTAAACCCAGGGGACCTCTGTTAAACTAGGATTCAAATATACAGAATTATATTCTCTCCGTACAATGAAATGAAGATGTGATCCTACATAATTATTTAGGAACAGTATTTTTTTAATTTAAAGTTAAAATATTTTTCTATAAAGTAACTGATTCTACTTTAGTGAAAGAAACTGTCATTTAAAAAAAAATGATTTTTTTAAAAAGGTGTAATTGTTTCATACAATAGCAGTACCTATGTACATAACAGARTACGGAGGTCGTACAGTTCTGCTCTTCACAAACATTCTGGATACTAGTTAGACTGACGAGGTAGTAAACAATACAATATGGCAAAAGCCACAAGTTTCTTACTTCTGTGCTCTTTGAAGTTGTTAGTAAATTCATCTAATTGGTTTCAGGGAAAAGTGTTAATCAAATTCAATAACCAACTTCTGCTAGTGAGATACTTATTCTTTTCACTTTTTCTTTTATTTATTTGATATTACTAAGCTGGGTTGTCTGGTTCAGCAAAGCTGAATTTATTATTTTTTTTATTATTCTGATCTGGATTATTTTCAGGCTCATAAAAGCGCTCAGAAATTTTTCAGGGTTAGGTATATCAGTAGTAAAATATACTTTTTTTCCTTGCTTAATGTTTTCCTAAAGCCTGCCAATAAAATATTTACCTGTATTTGTCCCAGGAAGCACTGTTTTCAAGGGAAACAAGAACCATGATTTAAGTTCAGGAAATTGTCCATATAATAAAACTTACTGCTGCTTTTGTAAATTGCAACTTTACATTTCGCTGACATAACTTTAAAACAACTTTGTATACTAGAAATGATTTTGCTAAGATTTGAATGTTATTTTTTTAATAAAAGGTCATGCGTCATCAGTAGGCATCAACTGTATTTCATACACACAAATAAAACAAAATTGGATCTGCTATTGGCAATTTTATAAGAACATTTAATACTATCAGTAAAACTGTTTTTCATCTGAGCCTTTGCAAAGATTATTTATGCCCCTAAAGGCCTGGTAAATCATAACATAGATAATAATTGTGTACTGTATTTAGATTTTAGTATACCTGGCCAATCAAAAATATTTTGATTAACACATACATTAGCAGTTATTAGTTGACCTTTAAAAAAGATACACCTTTATGATGATGTCTTCTAGTAGAGACATATGTAGTCGTATAGTGTCATTTATTGCAGTTTTGTACAGTAACTTGAGTATAGTGCATAAAATAGATATGTTCAAAGTTTAAAAAAAGTTGTACAAATATTTCTAAAATCAAATAAAAGAGTATCTTAAGACATGGAAATGTGCTAAACACAACAAAGAGAAACATCGCTTTCTTTTGCTGTTTTATTTTCTTGCTTTTTCTTTGCTTTTGATGTGATTCTGTTTTGTACTTTGTGTGACAGTATAGATGCCAAGGTCACAAATGCATATTATAAATAGAATTAATAATTAAGACAGAGTGGACATCAGTAAAATAAAGACATTTAGTAGGTTACAAAAGAAAGGGAGAAGCATGGACAAGGCGTGTATCCCTTGGATTCCCTCAAATTAAACCATCAGACAAAACCTTTCTCATCAACAGTAGCTAAAAAATGAGCACTTTACTCAGAACATTAAAATAAAAATATCCTTATTTTCATATATATTTATATGTAAATGTAGATCTTCCATGTAACATGGAGATGTGTGCAATAGTGTGATTATAAGCAAAAGGCTGGGAGGCAAGCAATAAAAAAAAGGGATTTTTCATGGTATAAGCATACATTTTAAAAATGTTTCATTTGTAAATGATAAAATGTCCCTTCAACATCACATTGTCCAGGTATGAATAAATATATAAATATGTACATATGTACAAATAATTGTAAATATTAGGACTGTAGAAAAATCCCTTCACTTTTAACTCTGTTTTTGGCAAAGGGCTCTGACTGTATAGTTTAATGGAGGCCCCTGCTAAACTGCTCTTGAACTTGAATAGCTTGATTATGTTTTCTGTGGCTGAGGTCTTATTCCTGTGACCTAATGAGAGTTCTTACCTTCTGTTCACATCAGCAAGGTTAGGGACTCTCCAAACCTCATCGGACTGGGGTATGAGAAACAGAGGTTTGTGTTCCACCCTTGGCTACATCCCAGCTACTCAAACCCTTCCCAGTGTTGAAACTGTTGTGTATTTCTCCGTGCACGACACACAGTATCGTCAGAACTCTCCCCAGGCCAAATATGAGTGTGCTCAGTGATGGTGAATTACCTGATAAGGAAGGATTTTGCATCCTTATCTAAGATGGATACCTTCAAAGGTTTTTAACAGTAAAGTCTTCTCCAAAAAGACTTCTCTGGAAAATAACATCTGGGTAACTCCGAGCTGCATGCAAAAAAAATGCATATCTTCAGCTGGCACAAGAAACCCAATGCTGTCTCGTGTTAGTCAGCCCTGCTGCTACCGCTTTTATTGGGTACAACTAATTTATCATCCACTGACCCTTTTCTCTACACTTATGCTTGAGTCAGTAAAAAAAAACAGGTGTTCATCACATAATCAAGTTACATTTATCACCCACTTTTCCGGAAAACTAGGCATACTCAGTTAAACTCAGTTAAAAAAAAAAAAAAAAAAAGAAATTTAAACTATTTGCAGTTGCAGTTATTGTGGGCATCAGTAAGGCTTTTAAAATGGCCATACTCTGGAAAATTTAGGTAATTGGTCTACACTAAAGCAAAATCCTTCTATGGAAAGGAGTCTGCTTTACTGTTTCACTGCTGAAACATTTACAGTGGCCCAACTGAGTACACGTAAGTTGCAAATTTGTCAGTCCACCATCTAGATAAGTGAATATAAATGTAAAGATTCAAGTGAATGGGAGCATCCTGCAAGGAATACCAGAACGCAAGAGTTAAGCCTTCTTTTGATTTAGAATGAATCTGTTGTTTCATTTAGTATAGAATCTGTGTCTGGGATTTTAAAGCTAATGTCACAAATTTACATGTCAAATATCTAGAGGGTTCATATAATTTGAATAAAACTTGTTGGTCTTAAATATTTAAAGTGGGGAGAATGAGTAAGAAAATGCAAGTCACTTTTCTATCAAAGGCTTGCACATGGAATCTGCCACTGAATTTTTTGGTTGTCATATTAATCTAATTTACTTGTCCCATTATTCTTGGGTCAGCATRTCATATTTTATATGACTTCAGAAATTAATAAAATAAATGCAAATATAAAATACTGTGGTCAAGTTAGATTGGAATTACAGTGATTATGGATGAGGTTTATGAAACAGCCTTCCTGATGCATGTGGTCAGTTAATTTGACAGTAATTTATAAATCAGCATGAAAACTAGAGATCAGCACAGTTTATCAGCCAGAGTTATGTGCTGAAGACTTCACATGAAGTCACAGAGTTGTGTGCTGAAGAGTAGCTTTGAAACTTCTCATTTATGCTGTGGCCAATTAAATTACCTTCACCTGCCATAGCTGCACTAATTGAACTTCTAACTGCTGCATTGTTGAACATCTTGTAAAAATATTGTGTCAGATTTTCTGAGAGATGAGCTTTAGCTTGGGAGAGTACTCATACCTCTGAACATTTTTCTAAATTAAGGAGCCAGTTTGCCTATATAGTCACAGGAAAGAGCCAAACGGGAGCCTTACTGAATCACCTTCCCTTCCCAGTGATTACAGATAACACAGAGGGTGATGAGACTTCAAAAGTGACCAAAAACTGTCTGCATGAATTCAGCCAGAAACAGCAGGGAGGAGGTAGGAATGTATGGGGGAGGAAAGGAAAAAAGAGAACACACAAATGGCTTTGTTACCATGGCAGTGGAATGTGAGATAACTGAGGAAGAAGTCACTGAGGGAGGTAATGTGTATTTTTGTTTCAGCTTCAGTTCTGAGCCTTCTTTGCAACATGTGAGTTGTGGGACAGTAGCTCTTAGAGCAAATAAAATGGAAGTACTTGTATAATTCTGCTGAACTTGAGGGACATGAGCTGTGCCTTTGAAAGTGAGAGGCCTCTACTGACTGCTTTGTGAAAACAGACCATGAAGTGCTGTGCATCTCCTGCTGTTTGGGACATCTTGGGTGGAGGGAGAAAATAAGCTTCAGAAGTTAGGTAGAATCTTGTTAATTCTACATTTTGTTTTCTTAAGAAGTGTGGCTTTCACTTAAACACAGAGCGTCAGCATTCATCCTCCATACCTCTCATTCCTATTCTGAAAGCTTAGTGGTGCACAAGTTTTGCCTTGGCCTTCACAAAATAGATGAAGTCTGTGCTGCCAAACATTTCAATTCCTAACAAATTTGCCTGAAAGATTATTTTAGTGTGGATATGAAGCTATCATCATCTATACCCAATTATGTCTAGACACATAATGCTAAAATTTATAAAGTCATGCATTGAGTTTTAAAGTAGAGGAAGAAAACATTTTAAAATAAACTGTGTAAGTTAAATAGCTTCATTTAAAAARCACAGAGTATGATAATTGTACCAATGTCTAAACATAACTAAATGAAGTCTCTGTGTGGTATAGTTTTATATCACATATAAATTTTGTGTCTTACACACATTGAAGTTCTAAAATAATTATGTGAATTTTTATGAAAGTCATCTCACAATTAAGCCTTGCGTAAAGGGAATGATTCTTTTTAAAGCAATGTTAGGATTCCTTCTATATCATTCCAGCAACAGTGAACCTTCTTCTAGAATGCTCTTAGCATGCAATGTAACTTAAAATTGTATCCCTTTAATATCTCCATCTTTTTTTTTCTTTTTAGTCAAGGACACTTCCTCCACCTCATTTTTGTAGATGACCCAAACTCCCTAACAAATAGAACTTTTAATTATTTTCTAAATCCAATTGTTAATTACAGCCCTCTGAGAATCAGTGAGGGACTTCACTTTAGGTCTTTAGTAGTAGAAGTTAAAGGTTCAAAACTGTTTCAATGCATGGCAGATGTTGATTCCATAAAATGTTTTTTTCCCCTCTATTTTAAAACACTAAATTTTTTAGATTCAGACCCTCTCCAGGTGARTCTTTTAACTCATGTTTTGGAGTCTGTGATTATATCTTACTGGAAAAGAATAAACTTTGAGGGCTTGACATCTCTGATGAAGATCAGGGCAAAATTTGCACTGAATTTAAAATAAAACTGATTCACATCCTCATCGTATTTTTCACTATCAATGAAGTCAGTAAAGACTTTTTCAGAAGAGGAGTACACCTAAAAGTACACCTGGGCTTTCCTTTGGACATGGGTTGTCAGTTCTTTAATCCATGAAAATAAGCCGTTAAAAGAAGTGTCAATTGTACTGAAATATGGGACTTGATGTCTGTTTTATTCCTGGTATTTATTAATGCCCTTTAAGAATATTGTGAAAGTGCTATAAGTTGGGATGAGGTGATAACACTAACAAAAAGGAATTTGAGGTTTTAAAATATGCAAGATGATGTATACTCTTCCTCTAGTGTTGGAGTCTACATAAATATATATGATTATATTTTTATTGCTGGATA